GAAGCTGCGCCTTGGTTTAGGGTTTAGGGTTTAGGGTTTGGGGTTTAGGGTCTAGGGGCAAGCCCTACTTGGAGGTTCATGGTAGGGTTGATGGGGTTCCTTTTAAGGCTTCCTTTAAAGGGTTCTATAGGGTTTAGGGTTTAGGGGGTAGTTATAAGTGGGGTTATAAGTCCCCCTAATATGGGTGATAATTATAGTTACCATACTTATAATAACCCTACTTAAAACTACCCATGAACCTCCAAGTAAGATGCCGTCGCTTATGGCGTGCCTCCGGTGCCACTTCTGGAAGTGCTGGTGTTTATGTGAAAGCCTTCGTTGCCTTCTCCTCGTTCGGTGAGGCGCGGGCAGACGGCGCTGTACTTTGCCGCCGCACGGAAGGAGAGATGTGATGCCGGCGGGATGCTTTTGAAGGTTGAGCAAAAAAACTGAGCATACTTGGAGGGTCGATCGTGGATACTTTGGTCAAGTGAATGGATTTAGGGTTTAGGGTTTAGGGTTTGGGGTATTAGCATGGGTGCTTGCCCTAAACCGCAATTCATTCCACCCGGAGTCTGGAGTCCCCCTATGGCCGTGGCCATCAGGGATACTGGAGGCCTTGGCAGCAGGAACCACCGGGGCCCCCATCGCTGTGCCCAAGAGCCCTTTAGAGCAGTGGTTTGGAGTTGGATGGGTTTAGGGTTTAGGGTTTAGGGTTTAGGGCAGCTATCATCACCACGATTAGCTGGATGGATTGATCGCAGGGATTCGACGGCGCTTGCAGAGGCTTTCCGGACCACGCTACCCTAAACCCTAAATTCCAAACGCCAAACCCTGAACCCTAAACCCTAAAGCCCTCAACCCTCAACCCAAAGCCCTAAGCCCTAAGCCCTAAGCCCTAAACCCTGAGCGGCTGGCGAAGTGTGGTGTTGGGTGCCCCACAGTTACGCAAGGCCGGGACTGAGCAACAAGACAACCTAGGGTTTAGGGTTTAGGGTTTACGGCAAAGGGGCCCTGATCTTAGTGTAACCTTTTGGGGCTCTCATAATCCTACTATAATTCGAAAGGTTAACATTTTTTGGGCTAGGGTACTCAGTGATTCCTCAACCCTAAACCGCTTTGTTTTGCAGCCCAGAGCAAGCTTCTTGAAGGGTCGGTGCGCAGGATGCAATGGATGCCGAACAGATCTGTCGGTTCTTGATGAGGCCTCGTGAGGGGCGGGTTCAGCGATAGAGTGGTTTAGGGTTTAGGGTTTAGGGTTTAGGGCTTGGCTGGGCCCTGATTCCCAGACCCTATTATTAAGATGAAGGAGCGACTAGGATTCAGGTTGCCGGAGACTTCTTGTTGCGAGGTGGACTCGTGCACGTCCCTGAGTCTTTAAGTTTAATGCTCTTAGGAACTACTGTTGGATATTATGATAAAACTCCAAGGTGTTCTAAACCCTAAACCCTAAACCCTAAACCCTAAACCCCAAACCCTGAACCCTAAACCCTAAACCGCAAACCCTAAATAGCGGCTTCATTATTATCCTGAGGAGGCTTCAGCTAGTGCCCTAACCGAACCATGGTTCTTGTTTTTTCGGGCGGTCTTGCAAAGATTTGCCTTATGGTTCTATGGTTCATCCGAGTTGTTCCCTGGGTTTAGGGTTTAGGGTTTAGGGTTTAGGGTTTAGGGAAGGGTCGTCTTCTCAGTGTGGTTGGGGGAAGTCCATGTGGTGGCATCAGCAAGACAGACCCCCGAACTGGTACACACCTTGGCCGAACCCTATTCTCTGCCACGTCTTGACCTCTGCATTACTTCAGGCATACTAGGCCTGAAGTAATTACCAAGATGATTCCTTAGGGCCCCTTCCATATTCCTGCCCTGCAGTGTACATAACCCTAAAGCCTAAACCCTAAGCCAAGCTTTGGATCTAGTTCTTTTTGAGAGCTGAAAAACAAGCCCAAACCCAAAGCTTGTTATAATAGTAGGGAGTTTGCCAGTCAAAATCCCAAAAGCCTGCATCGAAAGCCCTCCCATGTTTTCCAAAACCTCCTGAATTAAGGCTGTAACTTAAATTGTGCGAATGATCGCCCTGTAACCGAAGGTATTCCTAAATTAAGATAATACAGGGGCCTTAAGAATTACCTATTTTGGGGGTTTGTTCCAAATATTAAGGCCCCTACATTTTGGAGTCTCTGGCCTACAAGCTAAGCCCCGAGCAGCCCAGTCGAGTCCGCGTGCCGGCAGCAAAGAGGGATGACTGGGGGCAAAGCCCTCTGTTGCTCGGCTGCGTGACTTTTGGGTTCATGCTTCCGTTTAAACGCACGCCGCTGCTTGGCATTTGGGTTCATGCTTCCGTTTTTAAAGCATCAGTGTGACTTAGAGAATCTCACCCGAAGGTACTTTTCACTAATACCCTTACTCATCATGCCGATGTCTCTTGGTCTCAAACCGACAGACTGGTGTAGAGGGCTTCTCTATGAGGCGTGTGATGTGCTGGGCTCCTCTGAGACTGTTGTCATACCATGGTTCGAGGCCCTGGATCCCTGGTGGTCGCTTCAGGGCAGGATCGCCAATGCTTCGCTGCCCCCTCAAACCTCGGCAAAATCCTACACAACACCAAATCTATTGTAGCTTGTTCACTGTCAAGTCAAGTTTTGTACTCAGTTGTCTTAGTTTGTCTTTCTCTGTCTCGACATATGGGTCTTCTTTCCTCGCATTTGCTTTTTAATCGTCTTCATGTATCTCCATCTGCCTTTATGACACCAGTTTGGTGGTCTTGATGAACCTTTAACATAGAAGCCTAAATAATTCCCAATATTATTCTTCAGGGTTCCTTATTATAGCTATACTGTAAAGGAGGTCCAAATCCTATTCTAATTATTCAGACCGCTACATGAATCTTTATCCCATTGCTCGCCTGCGGCTTCGTGCGCTGGGTCCACCACCCCAATCGGCCTTACTTGGAGGTTCATGGGTAGTTATAAGTAGGGTTATACGTAGGATAACTATAATTATGACGACCCATATTAGGGGACTTACAACCCCACTTATAACTACCCACCCCCTAAGCCCTAAACCCTATAGAACCCTAAAGGAACCCTGAAAGGAGCCCCATAACCCCACTTATAGCTACCCATGAACCTCCAAGTACCCCACCTCAGCCCCGCCTCGCTAGGGTTTAGGGTCTAGGGTTCAGGGTTTAGGGTTTAGGATTTGAGGGCTTAGGGTTTAGGGTTTAGGGTTTCGGGTACAAGCCCGAAACAACAACTAAGGGCTTCTCGAACTACAGGCCTCGCGGGGATTTAAACCGCACGTCTCTGTCAAAGGCGACCCGGTAAAATCGGGTTAAATCTTGTCAAACCTGGTTAAAGCTTAAGGCGTATTGAATCTTACCAAGTGTACTTGACTTCGCCACGCTTCCACGGGGGGCTCCTCACCACACCCTGGATCGAGGGCTTGCCCGCCTCGGCGCCTCCAAGGGGAGCTCGGGGAAGATCCCCCTTCACCGACAACGCTTAAAGCCTTGTGGGAGTTTCAGAAAATTAGGGTACCTTATTTTGGGGTCCTTATAATAAGGGTCCTACTATTTAGGGTACTATATTAGGGTCCCCTATTTTCGGAAACTCCCTTGTCAGACTTCGGAGATCTGTAGACGTCGAAGGCCTTTTAAGACTCTTCTTAACGCTTGCAGATCCTGTAAAGCCTCCTTACTTGGTTCTCCAAGTCTTTACAATTCAAGCCTGAGTCTCTGGAGTGGGATCTTTTGTACAAGTTTGGCTTGCCTGTCCTTGGTTTGTCAACTGTGGTCTCAACTTATCTTTTGTCTGCCAAAGTTTGTCTTAACCTATCTTAGCTAAGGTTTTAAGCCCCGAGGTTCAAAGGCCCGAGGTTTGAGCTTCTTGGAAAGCCCCGTGACAGCGAGGTACAACAGGATGGTTTTGGGTTTAGGGTTTCGGGTCTAGGGTCTAGGGTTTAGGGGTTTAGGAGGTTTTTGTTATGTTCCCAAAACCACCGGCCTCTAAACCAAAAAGCTGACAGGGGTAACAATGGTAACAGCGAAGAGAAGCCAGAGTTACAATCGCAACAGTCGCAACTGTGTTCATCATCATAAGGATTGTAACACCACTGCTGGCAAGAGCAAGACTAGCAAGAACAATCAGGACAATAGCACCAATCAGGGCATTGCCCTAATCCATGAAGTTCGGTTCGGCATGATCTTTCGCTCAGGTTCTACGCAGCTAGACAAGGACACACAGAGCGACTGGGATGAGTCTTTGGGGGTAGAGAGTGGAATGGCCTTCGGTCTTAGCACACGGCTTCGAGGTACGTTTTTTGAGATGTTTGTCGGCATTATGCGCGGAGAGTTGCCTCAATCATGCATGTTTGCACGCAGAAGGTTTGGAGCTGTGGACTTCGAGTCATGAAGCCTAGCTGAGGCTTTGTGCTTATTTCGTGGAGAAATTGGGCATGAGTGTCCATCAAGCAGATAAGTCGGGGGATACGCCACTTTTCTACGCAATGGAAGCAAAAAAGACCGACACGGCAACTGGGTGGCACTTTTTGAAACCTTTAAATGCACCTTGTGGTCTTGCAGACGAACCTTTTGAGGCATCATTTTGGGTTCAACCCTAAACTCCCAAAATCCAGGTCATTTACTTGCTCAGAAAGGGCGCGTCGCTCGGAGTCAACAACAAGAGCTTCGAGTCGCCAGAAAGCCTCGCACCGGTTGAGGTGGCTCGCGAGCTGCAGGCAAGAAACGGGGTCGGAACAGATGATAATAGTAGATTCCCGTTTCGTACCCTAAACCCTAAACCGTCTGTGAGTGTATCTTAAAATGCCCCCCCTTTATGGTCCCTACATTGCGATGTGGATCTCCCCTAAGATCTGGGACATTTTGAGGTGGGTAGTTACTGTTATAGGAGCCTTATAGAAGGTCTATATACCTTATGCAAGCCTTATAGAAGCCCTATATACCCTAAACTCCCCACCTGTAGTTTCCTTTATTAAGACACTTCTGCTACGGTTTCGAAGGATGCACAAGTCATCAGAAGCCTTTGTCGACCCATGTCCGCAATCACCTCAGAGCATATGAAGGCTCTTAGTTTAGGGGTTTAGGGGTTTAGGGTTTAGGGTTCTACGTACCCACAACCCTAGACCTTAAAACCCAAACCGTAAACCAACAACCACGAACCCGAAGCACCAAACCTGAAATCCCCGAACGCCTGAACATCAAACCCCTGACTTTGGCCCTAGACCCTGCAGCCCAAACCCGATTCCCCTTACTCAGGCTCCCTTTTCACCCTAAACCCTAAACCCTATAAATCCTAAACCCTCAACCCTATAAATCCGAAACCGTAAAACCCTAAAACCCTAAAACCCTAAAGCCCTAAGCCCTATAAATCCTAAGCCCTAAACCCGCTTTCAGGCCCGGATGAAGGAGTGGGTCGAACCATTGAAGGCCTCGTCTCCGGAGAAGTCGGGAGACTCAAGAAAGCGAAGCTGGGCTCTTGTTAAAGGAGCCCTAAACCCTAAACCTTAAACCCTAAACCCTAAAACCTAAACGAGGCCTCAAAGGAACCTTTAAGGGTTTTAAGGGGGTTTGTGTTTGGGGTTTAGGGTTCCAGAAGGGCTACTTTTCAGGGTTGCTATAAGGTTTACGGCTCAGGAACTTAGTTTAAGTCTATATAAAAGGGATCTACAGTAAATACTAAGGTCTATGTATTATCTGAAGTATAAGTCCTTTACGGGCACCCCCCTAAACCCTAAACCCTAAACCCTAAACCCTAAACCCTAAACTCTAAACCCTAAACCCAGGGAAGAGGCCAGAAGAGGAGGAGGTTGAGGAGCAAGGATCAGCCGCAGAGGGGCCTCAAGCCCTGCAGGAATGGGTGGCACAGCCGGCGAAGTTGCCGAAGAATTGGAGGACCCTAAACCCCCTAAACCCTAACCCCAAACCCT